CCCTAAGCCCTAAACCCTATGTTGACCCAACCCAGGTGATGTTTGCCCTGGTACTGGCGCCCTTGGTTGGCCAGATCTCCGTGCCTGCTCTTGCGGGCATCATGGTTCAGGCGGCGGCTTAGGGGGTTTTGGGGTTTTGGGGTGTATGCTTTACGAGTGAGTGTAGGGTCTAGGCTTTAGGTGTTTGGGGTGTAGGTGTTGAAGGACACAGGCATCTCTGCGTGTAGCACAAAATGGTTCGTGCCGGTGTTGGAAACAAGGGCAATCTGAAGCATGCGGCGGCCCCGGCAGAAAGAATGAAATGTAGATATGCTACTGTTGCCATGCTGGGGCGCCGGGCATACCATGGGAAGCGGTCCATGCTTGGGCCGGGTCTCGACATTGCACGCTTCCAGCTCATGGACACTTGTAGCACTTGCAGTCAGTCCTCAACATCTCTAAAGTTGCACTTGTCATTTCAACTAACCCCTCAGGGTTTCGCCTCCTGGGTTCAGCAAGTGTCATGGTGCAGGCGGTGTCCTTTCTATTCAGGGCGTGGTGGCCGTAAGCTCCATCGAAAGAGGCTTTAGTGCTACAGAGTTCAGGGTTTACTGATTATATGGACTCAAGATCAAAGGCTTGGTGTGGAATTCGAGACTCTGAGTTTTGGATCTAGGGTTCGAGATTGAGGCTCCAGAATTTTGCGTGGACACGTGGTCGTTTAGGGTCAACTAACTCTGCATGTTTGCAATTGCCATACATAACCCAAAAAGTGTGCCTGCGTTCCCATACATTTGCAATTTCATACAGCTGTACAACACCAATTATCCTCCTTACTCCCTTATTTGTAAGTCCCTGATCCTCTCAGTAAGTCATTTGTCCCAAGGCTTCTCTGCTAAACTACTCCCTCCAAACTAGCATGGAACCACACAAGATGACATGTAAAGGACTGCTGCCCTTTCAAAAGTTCATGGATTCCGTGTCAGGGGTTGCACTGTAAGTTTAAACCTCAGAGGGCTGGGGCATTAGTCTGCGAGAGAGCCGCTTTTCAGGTCCCAAGTTTGATTTCGGAAGTGAAGACACGCTGTGAGAATCCTTGCTTGATCCCTGTAGCGCCAACTTCTAGGAATAGTGTCAGGTCGTCAAAATAGATCATGCAAGGGAGCGCCCCTGAAACCCTGCACAGACACAGTCTGCCTCAGAAGTAGGGGGCCCTCGCATGTGCCCTTGGTGCCATAGTCCTTTGCAACAATGAGAGCTGCACATAGCAGAGTTTAAAGAGGTCACCAGATTGCACCCAAGAAAGAGAATTTCAAATGTTGCAAATTCCAGAATGTGCTATGTCTTTCCATTTTTGTGCCAGTACTCATCCTGACAGAGAATTCACTGACGAACTTTCCTTTAGCCATGACAGCGGGGTAGCTTCTGCAAACGCGGACACAAAAAGTCTCCAACCTAGACTAAGACTGTATTCTCCTCTTTAATTTTGCATCTTACATGCGGCATACACCCCGTTCTTGAATAGATGGTCTAGTGTCTATCACATTAAAAGCCAATGAGGAACATGAACTACCAGTAGCACAAAGCCTAATATTCAGAACAACAGTACCAACAGAAAATGCTACTTGTTCAAACACCAAGCCCTAAAATCCCATGAACTCCAACATTCCTCAGGTGTCCTTAGACACAATCCAGTTTGTACCGACCTTCGATGCCATCAAAGCCGCCTTGGAGGGCAAGGAGGAGGACATGATCCCAAGAAGGGGAATTGAAACTACTATTTCAGGGTTAGGGGCATTACCCCAATAGTGGAAATCAGACATGGAGGAGGACATGCTGATACGCTGTCTGGTTATTGGCTGGGAATCGCGGAAAGGGTGGAAGCTACTATGTGTTTTTTGTTCGGTTTATGGCTTCAGGAATAAGATTTTGCGGTTTAGAGGTTTGGGCTACACTGAGATAGCAAAGGTTATGCAAATCCCTCTGCAGCGCGAAAGATCCTCAGAAACTCCATTCAACAGCCTGGTCAACATCCCAACCCAGACCTCAAAGGATCCAAAAAATGGAAC